ACCGTTAAAAAAAAAAAAAGTGTCCCCCCTGTGATAACTTATTCTTGATGAGCCATCTAAGATATCTGACCTTGGAGCTATGAGAAGCATGAGTGCTGGTCCATCTTAGTAGGCCTCTTTGTTTAGGTCACTTTCTTGCTGCTTGACTATCATCTATATACAATGGTACCTCAGGTTAAGTACTTAATTCGTTCCGGAGGTCCGTTCTTAACCTGAAACTGTTCTTAACCTGAAGCACCACTTTAGCTAATGGGGCCTCCTGCTGCCGCCGCACCGCCGGAGCACGATTTCTGTTCTCATCTTGAAGCAAAGTTCTTAACCTAAGGTACTATTTCTGGGTTAGCAGAGTCTGTAACCTGAAGCGTATGTAACCTGAGGTACCACTGTACACAAAGCAGCATACACCACTTTGTCTAGGACTTCCCATTACTTCACCTGCCCAGATGAGGGTACAGGTGGCAAATACCCAAGTCTTACAGGTAGTTCCTCTTTCTGGGCTCAGAGCCCAGCACTCCAAGCCCACAGATAAGGATAACATCAAAGCATGCTAATTAGCATATATCAAAGCAAGTGAATATAAACATATATGAGCTCATTGCTACAACGGCTACCAGTTAATTGTGGGGTTATATTGACTACCAAGATGGCATTAGCAAAGCTTCCAGAACAGTTTAACTTTGGTTCAACACAGTAAGTCTTTCCCGTTGCCATCTGCCAGGCTTTTAGTGATGGCGGTGGGATATTTACCTCCTCCCACGTGACCATACCTTCTGTGTAACCAGGCTGCCAGCCATTTAGGGTCCTGAGGTTGGGTGCAGGCTCTGCTGGACGCATGCACTCTACTTCCCTCCACTGTGAGAACCTTACAAATATTACAGTTCTTTTTACTGCATTTTGATGTGAAGAATTCACCTTGGAATAGGTGGAAATTTTACCAAGGAGAGGATGAAGAACAAATGTGGTAAAGGTCATCCTTGTTTAGTACCCCTATCAATGGTGGTTGAGGTGAAATTAGTTTGAACCAAGGAAGAATTGGCAGTTTCAATAAGGCGTAGATGAATTTGTTGCCCATTTGATTGTGTTGTAGCACTTTGAATAACATCACCAACCCAGGCAATCGAATACCTTGAATATGTCTATAGTGACCACAACACCAAGGGGTGGTTTTGATGTGTAGTATAATGGATGACATTTAGTGTGGAACTTTCCTCTTTTAACTGTCATGAGGGGAGTAAATGAGAGAGCTCACAACTGGAAAGGGAATCAGTTACCCACTAGGGGAGAGTGGCTATGTAAGCTCTCAGAATACTTAGAATTAGCCAAATTGACAGACATAATAAGACAAAAACCAAAAAGTGAAGTAAAAAAAGAATGGGAGTGCCTAAATGAATACCTCAAAAGTCAAGGTTCGAGGGCAGAAATCTGGCTGAGTCTGGAATAACCTTGTGAAGTGAAAGGATATGAAAGAAGGATTTATATCTAGATGTTAGGATAGAGATGATAAAGAAAACAGGAAAACACAATGAGAGATAAAGGAGGTCCTGTGGGATTGGTGGAAGTCAATGTTTTGTTGTTTTAGTGTTTATAATATTAACTTGTAAGATATGGATTTTTGTTGTTGTTTTTAGTTTTCAAATGTTGATTTTTGTGTGTTGTGTATTGTTATTTTTTGATATCTTTCGTGATGTTGTTGTTGGTGTGTGGAAAATACTAATAAATTCATTTTTTTAAAAAAAAATGTCTTTGAGGCCAAGTAATCTCCCAGTAGGCTTTTACTTTACTCTACTCTACTCTACTCTACTCTACTCTACTCTACTCTACTTTACTATTTCCTTTCCTTTCCTTTTTCTTGAAGTTAAATTCCTGTCCTCAAATTGGCCGTGTGGTTCTTTGATTGGAATGTTGTTGGGCTGCTGTTTAAAAGGCCTGCATCTTCCAGCAGTTTCTAGAACATGAAAGGAAAACAGACTACTGGGTACTGCTGTGCATAAAAGGATGAAGAACGTTGACTTTGTAATGATTGCTGTTGTACAAAGTTTATTTTTTAACCCACTTCCTTCTCCATTGAGAGTTTCATATTCAAGGAGAGATGAGACACAGTGACCACAAGATTACTGGCAAACTGCCATAGTAATTATCTGTAGACAATATCTGTCTGACAGTATAATAATCCTAATAATTCAATTAATCAAAACAATAAACAAGGGATAAATATAGGAACGCTGAAGGCAAAATAAGTGACACATTTGCTCTGATGGAAGCTGAATAGTTGCAGTGTAAGCCAATTCTCATTTGCGTTTTCCCATCTGTCTAAGTCTGAATATCACTGATATGAGCAGAATCCCCCATTGGGCTTTTGGGGGCTTTAATCTTTCTAAAGAAACAATTGCTTTTCTATTTCTGCATTTGTAGGTACTCCTTCATCTGGACAGAACTGGTCAGTAAGAAACTTTTGGATTTTAAAAATATTTCCTTTTTATAATCTGTGTATTTGATTTGACAGTTCAAATATAAGCCCCAGTGTTATACATAAAGGCTCTTTCAGTTTGCTTTCTTGCTGTTCTAAAGTCAGTTTTCCATAATCACTGCTGTGTTTGCTTTAGTAAAGGACATAAAGGTCAGATTGTAAAGTGATGGACAAGGCCCATAAAATATATAAAAAGGAAATAATAAAGTTTTGAGCAAGGGTTGATTGTATGACTTTTGTCACAGCAGGCAAATTCACTCTTATTTCCCTTACTGCATGGTTTATTCAGGCAGTTCTCACAGCATTCAGTATAGAACAACCTGTCTCCTTTTTTGCATATACTTTGATTTTAGAATAAATCATGTTTAGAATAAGCAAACTGGAGCATCTCCTCAATGAGCAAAATTAAGGCAACTGTGAGTTTTTAGACATGGATGTGAATTATTTTGCTGCTTGTGTTGTCCCCCAAACTAATGAGAGAAATATGTGGAATTTGAGTTCAGATGTGTACTACTCAAGTAAAAAAAGGAACATGGGGTCACAGCTGAACTTTCAGAGTTGAGCAGTTCAGGAGAGGCAGTGATGAATATCCCATCTGAAATACTTTAAAATACTTTACCATTGATTTCCGAAGCACCAATTTCACCTTCCTAATTAACACTTACCTTAATTTCTAGTATCAAGAATTCTGCTGCTGACAAGAATCAGGAGGCAAATAGCTGAATGAAAACCAACATGGAAAATCATTTTCTGCTCCTAACATTTTGACTTGAGTAGTGGAAATACTTGCGCCCATACATAGGGCTTATCCACACTTCCACAATTGCCATTTCTTCCGATCTATTGCTAAAATGCATGTTTTCCCTTGGAAAGGAACAGGGCAAGGGGGAGATTGCTCAGACCCATGCTTCCTAGGCACGGTACAAGCAGAAGTGGGGACGAGCCCATAGAAAGACTGTCTTTCTCATCAGCTGAAAAGAGAACAGCTTATTCAGTGGGAAATGTTGAAAGTGTCTTTCCCCTTGCCCTAGAGTCCTTCTATTCAAACAAGCAGAAGGTTGGTTCCAATGAGATGTAGAAAGACAAGTGTGCAGAAGCAAGACTTGTATGAATCGTGTGAGCTGCATGACTTGCACAGGAAAACAATGCTGCCTTCCCTTCAGTGAACTGAAATCTTCATTCTGCAGTTTGCTAAACATAGATGGTGATCTCATTTGTGTTCACTACTCCCTCTTTACTCTTCTGGTGCAGGTTTATGTGAGCAAACTGGCTCCAGGTAGTGTCATCGGAACAGCCACTGAAGGCCAAATATTGCTTGACAGCTTGGCAAAATTTAGGGTGCACAAACTTGTTTGAGAAATAATCTGAGTAAAGAATTCATTGTAATGGGGGCCTCTAGTATAGATTGCCATTAAAATGTGTAAAACTTCTCATAGATTCATAGAATTGTAGAGTTGGAAGGGGCCCTGAGGATCATCTATTCCAAAGAATCTGTTGAAGCATATATCCAAGCTCTGCTTAAAAACCTCCAATGAAGGAGCGTCTGTGTAAGAAAAACACTGGGGCCTAATTAGATGAGTAGAATGTCTGGCGTCTGGTGGGCGGGGTTTCTGTGTTTTCTGGAATCAGCCCCTCCCTTTGGGTGTTCAGTTAGAGAGGCCAACTGTCATTCATGCCTCCTCATGTTGTTCTTGTTTCTCTCAGATAGTACAGTGGTGCCTCGCAAGACGAAATTAATCCGTTCCGCGAGTGTCTTCGTCTAGCGGTTTTTTCGTCTTGCGAAGCAACCCTATTAGCGGCTTAACGGATTAGCGCTATTAGCGGTTTAGCGGCTATTAAAGGCTTATCGGCTTAGCGGATTAGCTGCTAAAAGGCTATTAAAGGCTTAGCGGCTTAGAAAAAGGGGGGGAGCGAAAAAAAAATCTCAAGACTCGCAAGACATTTTCGTCTTGCGAAGCAAGCCCATAGGGAAATTCGTCCTGCGAAGCAACTCAAAAACGGAAAACCCTTTCGTCTAGCGGGTTTTCCGTCTTGCGAGGCATTCGTCTTGCGGGGCACCACTGTATGTTATTGTATTACAATTTTCTTTATTATTGTTTGACGTATACATGAGTGGCTTACTTTGTTGAAAGACAGGAAACTCTGCTGAGGAATGGTGGAATATTCTAAACTGGGTGAGTGATTTTTAATCACCCCACTTTCCGCAACACTCAGTTCCACTGCTTTAAATTCAGATTAGTTCCTTTAACCTATATATTTTATTTATATATTTGTAATATATATATAATACAGTCGTACCTTGGAAGTTGAACAGAATCCGTCCCAGAAGTCTGTTTGACTTCCCAAATGTTCGAAAACCAAACTGAGGCTTCTGATTGGCTGCAGGAGGGTTCTGTAGCCAATCAGAAGCCGTGGAAGCTCCGTCAGACGTTCGGGTTCCAAAAGAACGTTAGCAAAGCGGAAGAATAACTTCCGGGTTTGTGGCGTTTGGGAGCCAAAACGTCCAAGTTCCAGGGCATTCGGGATCCAAGGTATGACTGTATATAAATATAAACGTATATGTGTGTGTGTGTACACACACACACACACACACACACACACACACACACATTAATTTATTTTTAAAAACATTATTATTATTATTTATTGACAAGGCTTTATTTTCAGCCAGAACTCAATTCTGGCATCTCTCAGGTGGGCACCATTGCCATTATAAGAGAATAATGGAGGTGTTCATGCTGAGTTCCGGCACCTCATTTTCTAGAAAAATAGTACTGATTAATGGTATATATTAATGTAAAGATATATTTCAGTTGATGCTGTTCTTCAATATTGCATTAGTGTATGTATTTCTGTGGTTGATACAACCGTGGTAGTTAAAACAACAATAAGCAACTCTATCTAGTAGAAGGATTACATACCCTAACCATTCCAAATAGTGGGTAAGGCAAACTATTAACTCCCCCCCCAAACCCCCCCTGCTGCCTCCTAACTGGTAACCCCCCCCCACTCCTTTTCTTCTACACTTTACTAATGGGGACAGTGCAGATGAAATTACTGCTCAGAAAATCTGGCCAGCTTGCTTGCTCCAAAGACTGACATAAGTGAAAATAATACTCCCCTTCGGTTTGCCACTTGTGCTGACAGTGCCATACTTAGCTGCTGGAAACAGGAAGGACTCCATAAATCTTATTGATGGATCCATTAGCTCTCTTTCATAGTAGCATAGCACTTATACCTCTAGGACACTGCTGCAAATATTGGGGAAATACATGGTCGGAGGGGAGAGATAATCCCTTGTTTCCCCCCTCAAGTTAGGCTGGTTAGTACTGATTATGAAGAAAAGTGGGAAGGGAAACCGAGGGCTGCATCTACCTCAATATCCTCTCCACTCCTGAACTTTTGTGTTCCCTTCAGACAATGCTGGTGATTTAACACTTAAGCACCTAGGTGTGTTTTTTTTAAGCACTGTACATTCATTGAAATTTTGCTTGAAGGCTCACCATTGAATAAGTGTCTAAAACTTTCCCCAAGCAAGGACTGATATTTACTGGGCAGAACACTGCTTTTTCCGTGAAATAAATGTCAATTTTTAAATGTTAAGTTGCTATAATTTGATAACTGGGCTTGGATAGTTGGCATAAGACACAGCATAGCATTTTCACCTTTCACCTGTTCTTAATTTGTGGCAGATTTCCATCTTTTTGTGGGCCGATCAATGGGTTACCTTCAAAATTCATGGTTAATTCTTTTGGACAAAAAGCAAAAATTAAATAGTATTTTGATAGCCAAGTTTGAGAGAATTGTAGCCTTTTTAAAAACCCACATTTCTTTAAAGCAGCAGCCATCCTATTTTCAGAGCCATTGTATCAAGAGTGTGTTTGTGTATAATATATGTATGTGATTGTGTGTGCATGCAAGACCATTTTCAAATGAATAGTGCTCCTAGAAGTAATAATTTTAACATTTGTGTTGTTGATTCTGTTTATTATTTCCTTTCCACCGTCTTCCAGGACATAGTGTGTGTTCTTTAATCACACAATGTCACTGTTGCCTTAACTGTCCCAGCTCAGACATATTCTTTTTTTTAAAAAAAATGATATTTATTGAAAATTTTTGAATTACAAAAGAAAACAAAGAAGAAAAAGAGAAAGAAAAAACAAAGAAAAAACAAACCACAGTCAAACAATACAGATTAATAAAAATAAAAATCAAAAAATAGCACAACACGCTCAAAAAATAAAAATATACCACAAACATTTAAAAACAAATCCAATATTCTCAAATCCTTAACTGTCATTACCTTCTTTCTTTGACCTCCTCCTCCTCCCTTTTTTTGTATCCTGGTTATTAATTGTCGCAGCAAATCCTTTCCATACTTCATAATATTCTGTCATTACTTTACCTTACTCTATTTTAATCTTATCTTACTATAAAAACCTTAAAGCTTAAAACTTAAATCTTATTTTTACCAATTTCTCATAACCATAATATTCTTACATAATTCTTGAAACATTTTTGCTAAAGCCAAATAATTTCGTTCCAACATTTTTCTAACATTCATCAATTTTATAAAACAATCCTAATAAAAAAGTAACAAAAAAGAAACAATCCAATCTTCATCCAGCGTCTCTTCCTCCTGGTCCCGGGTTTTGTCAGTCCTTTCTATCTCATCAATCTAGCGCATTAACCTGGCAATCTTATGTCCGAGGCCCTTAAGTCCCTTCCATGTCACTTCCGCAGCTCTTCTTCATATTTATAGCTGTATTTTCCTTTATCTCCTGCTCCTTTCACTCTTGGGAACTCCAGCTTGACAATGCTTTTGACCCATCTCGACAAATCAGCCCCTTTTCCATAGTCCAGACTAAGCTCCATGTGGTATTTAAGAACATGTTTCAACGTCCCTCCAAAATTAAGAGCCCCCACAACCCCAAACATCTCACGGCCCATTGCCAGACTTGAAAAGTCCAAGCCTCCCTACATAGGGGGGTCTATCCAACCCCCCATTTCCAAACCAAACCAAACTTTATCTTTCCAAATCTGGCTTTTACCAAGTTCATTTGTCAAATCCAAGAATTCGTGTTCCTGCTGGGCCACAGCTCCCTCCATCTCTGGCGCCCAAGATTCAGAAACATCCTCTTCCTTCATCTGTTCTGTCAGGGCACACTCCTGATCTGATTCCTGGGTGGGCTCTATATAATTTCCCACTGCCTGTCCAAAATTTCTGATCGCATCAGTCATAAAATCCGTCTTCTCATGTAGCTGTTCCAGTAGGGCACTTGTTTTACAGAAAACACACAACAGAGCTTCTGAATACATTGTCCTGCAAGGTCAGAAGTCTATTCCCACGATCGTAATCTGTGACAGCTGCAAGCTCCCCGATTCAGAATTGGTTACAGTTTCACAGGCTCCCTCGAGGGAAGAACTTCTGTTTGTTCTTTTCTTTTAAAAACAGATCTAACAACAAAGTTTCCTTTTTCAGATATTTTGTCAATATTTGTTCCTTTAAGATGCGAAGGGGAACAATGGAGTCACTATGTTTCTCTTCTTTTAGCTATCTGTCAGAAACGTTTGTCTCTGGTCAATGAGCTTCAAAAAACGTCAGTCCTGACACCCCGCTCCAGGATCAAGACGGTGGAAAGTTACTTTGCTTTACACTCACTTCTGCAGGTTTAAGCAGTCTGAAAAAAATCCCCCCTCTTCTCCTGCTACCGAAGGGGGTTCAACAATTTAAAATGATGAAAGTTGATCCTTTACAAGAGATTTTCAGAACTCTAGTTTGCCATGTCTTTGCTTTAATCTATCTACAAAGAAACGGAAGGCTAACTTCCTGTTTAGACCTTCCCGTTTCAGTGCCAAATTGAGGTAAACTTTTAAGTCCAATTTTCCTTTCAGCTCACAAATCCTTATTTAAAGTCCAATTGTCCGAAATTTAAGTACTCACGGGTGATTGTTTTAAAAGCCAAATTGTCCCAGGAAAAAGGCAGCGCTCTCCGGCAACGGCTGTGCGGCTTCACTCCACGGAAGAAGCAGTTGACTCTCAGCACCGCGCCACTTCCCCCTCTTTGCTCTGGAGCCCGTTAGTGGGTTCCTTTGCGGGTTGGGGGGGCGCTAAAGGTGCCCGCCAAGTCCCATGGTCACAGGCTTCATCCGCCTGTGATTTTTGAATGGGTCCCCGCTTCGCCGTAGCGGAAAAGACCCGTTTCCCGTGGAGCTGGTCCCTCCAGATCAGAGGGAGTCCGCCATTACCGATGGCGCCACCCCAGAAGTCCCTCTCCACCCCGGAAGTCCCTCATATTCTTTACACATTTTGTCCTTTTCCATGGAAAATGAAAGACTTAAAAACAACAGATTTTTAAGGTCTATCATGTTTGATAGGCTGAACGCCACAGTTTATACTATTGATTCCTTACGCTATTGATTGCTCAGTTTACATTATTGATTCATGGGCGTGAAGTCTGATAGCAACAGTCTCTGTGGATCTTGAGTCTAAGAATGAGCCCAGAATTTAAATTGTAATGCAATAAAATACAATATAAGAAATAAAAGAAGCAATGAAAATACAATTATAAAGCACAACGACTGTTTAATGTAGATGTGCAACAGATCACCCGAATGAAGCTCATGGAAATACAGTTTAGGAACCCCTGCTCTGTATCTTCCTCTGACAAAAAGGGAATCTAATTCCAGGTCATGACATTAACCCTGGCCATTGGTCATGCTGACCAAGACTGTTGAGCGTTGGAGTTCAACAACATCTGGAGCATAGCAAGTTTCCCATCACCTCACAAGAAGATTATTTATCTGATATCTTAAAAGCAAAGGCTCCTGCAACAGGCAATTGTGCTACTTCAATCTTTTCCCCTTAAAACTTAAGACGAATGGCCCTCTTCCTGCCTCATATCATGGCGTGAGCTCTGCTTAAAAATATATATATTAACATTTAAATTGCAAGTTAATGCATATGCAGTACACTCTTTGTGTCTGGTTGACAAAGTTGTGTGTGGTGAATTGTTCTGACAGTCAACTGTCACAAGACTTATAGCCTAGATCTACTTGTATAACTATTATGCCAAAAAGGAATAATCTTACTGGAGAAGTTCCATTTCCAGGAACTATTTGTACATTCTGACTCTACTCCGTATAATAGGATTACATATTTCTTATCGCAACCACAAACTGGATGCATGCCAACTATATGTAGGAATGTGACTTGAGGCAATTTCTTTCTGTCTCTCTCCTTGCCTCTTCTTCCATTTCCATCGTATTCCTATTCTTAGTAAAAAAAAAGGGGGGGGGAGACGTGCACATGTGGCTGTGCATTTAGAACTTATCACTTAAAACGTCAATATGGATTGGTATACACAAGGAAAACCACTCAGCCTGCTGGAAACTTGCATTTTAGATAAAGGATCTGTATTGGGTAAGCCTTACAGGGGAGAGCTATGCATATTTAAATTCTACATTTTAGAAGGGAGGAGGAAGGACTATGCATTTATTTTTATTTGAATCTATTTGTTGCTGTTCCCATAAAATATCTCCAAGTGACTTCATAATAAAAGCAATAAAAACAATTGCATATATATATACACACACACACACACACACACACACACACACACAGAGTCACATATAGACAGGGATTCCCCCCCCAACTGGAACTAGGAGGAACTCAGTTCAAACACCTCTCAGGTGGGTGCCATTGCCATA